AAACAGTACTTGTCACACAGTACTGAGTTCTGTGTTCACTAACAAGATGCATGGATGGATGAACGAATGAAAGGATGTAAAGTTTCCATGTCTGGCTGCAGGGTTGGGAGAGCAGGAAGACCCCAGGCCCTCCTGTTCTCCATCTGCTGGGACCACCAGAGAGTGACTAGCATTTCAAGGTTCTGTTGCCACCCCTCCAACACACCCTACTATTCCCGGCCCCTACATCTTTCCTTCTGTGGTTTCCTTCACCTGTTCTGCTGATGCCTCTGACTGTTGAAACCCCATCAACCTTCAAGGCCCAACTCAAATGTCACCTTCTTCAGATTCTCCCTTGACTCAGTTGGAAGAATTTGCTCCCTTCTCTGAGCTCTGCAGCCTTCTGGCTGAAACTTTGTGTGGTGTAAACACCTATCTCCTCCTATAGACCATAAGCAACTTGAGGATGGAACATCTGTATTCCTTTTGGTAACCCCTGACACAGAGCAAGAGCTCAACAGACATGCTGGACTGAAGTATGGTGGGAGGATTGACTGACAGCTGGATGGACATAAGAAAGGATGGCCTGGGAAGTGGGTCACAGTGGGAGCCTGACCAATCTCCCAGGGAGCCTCAGGCAGAGACTCCAAGACCAGGTTCCAGTTCAAACTTTTTTCCTAGCTGGGACTTTAAGCAAATTGCTTCCCCACACTGGCCCTCAGTTTACATGTCTGTAAAATGCAGATAGTAGTAGTAACCTCATGGTAACACATAGGCTTTTTTTTTTTTTTTGAGACTGAGTCTTGCTCTGTCACCTAGGCTGAAGTGCAGTGGCACGGTCTCAGCTCACTGCAACCTCTGCCTCCTGGATTCAAGCGATTCTCCTGCCTCAGCCTCCCGAATAGCTGGGATTACAGGTATGTGCCACCACGCCCAGCTAATTTTTGTATTTTTAGTAGAGATGGGGTTTCTCCATGTTGGCCAGGCTAGTCTCGAACTCCTGACCTCAAGTGATCCGCCCACCTTGGGTGCCCGCCTCCGAAAGTGCTGGGATTACAGGCATGAGCCACCGTGCCCAGTCCAACACATAGGCTTTTGAAAGAAATAAATGATCTAACAATGCTTTGAAGTGCATGGCAAAATGCTGAGCACACAAAATATACTCAACAAATGTCCATATTATTATTATGGACACAAATTTGAGCCTAGGCTGGGGCTCCTTCTTCTCCCTTTGGAGGCCAGGGTCATGGGGCTAAGCTCGGGGACTCATTATAGAGAGTAGAGATTCAACAGGGATGCAGGACAGGATCCATTTTGTGCACATTCTTTCCTTTCTTCATTCAAAAAGTTGGGGGTGGCCGGGCATGGGGGCTCACGCCTGTAATCCCGGCACTTTGGGAGGCCAAAGCAGGCAGATCATGAGGTCAGGAGATCAAGACCATCCTGGCTAACATGGTGAAACCCCGTCCCTACTAAAAATACAAAAAAATTACCTGGGCATGGTGGTGGGCGCCTGTAGTCCCAGCTACTAGGGAGGCTGAGGCAGGAGAATGGCGTGAACCCGAGAGGTGGAGCTTGCAGTGAGCTAAGATCGCACCACTGCACTCCAGCCTGGATGACAGAGCGAGACTCAGTCTCAAAAAGAAAAAAAAATTTTTTTTTTAATTTGTTTTTTGAGGTAGAGTCTCGCTCTGTCACCCAGACTGGAATGCAATGGTGTGATCTCAGCCCACTGCAATCTCCTCCTCCCAGGTTCAAGCATTTCTCCTGCCTCAGCCTCCCGAGTAGCTGGGACTACAGGCGTGTGCCACCATGCTTGGCTAATTTTTGTGTTTTTTATAGAGATGAGGTTTCATCATGTTGGCCAGGCTGCTCTCAAACTCCTGACTTCAAGTGGTCTGCCTGCCTTGGCCTCCCAAAGTGTTGGGATTACAGGTGTGAGCCACTGTGCCCAGCCTAACAAGTATTTTTTGAACATCTACTTTGTGCCAGGCACTGGGGATTCTGCATGGGACAAGACAAAGTCCCTGCCCTCACGGAGCCGACATTCTAGTGCAGGAAGCCAGAGAAGAAGTGAAAAATAAGCAGATAGATAATTTCAGAGAGTAAACACCCTATAAACAAAAGAACAGGGCTTTTCCCCAAGAATGACTGGGGTTGGTCAGAGAAGGCTTTTCTGAGGAGGCGGATTTAAGCTGAAACCTAAAAACGGGAAGGAGGCATCTGGGAGAACAGTCTAGAGCGATGTGAGGAGCAGAAAAAAAGCTGGTGAGGGTGGGTGAGAGTGAATGAGAGGTGGGACACAGGGGGAGGGAGCCTGAGGTGTCCAGGGCTGAGCCTTGGTGACTCCTGGCCGCTTGAAGAGGTTTTATCCTAAGTTTGACAGGAAGCCAGTATAGGATTTTTTGTTTGTTTGTTTGTTTGTTTGTTTTTTCAAATTAAGGTGGGGTCTCACTATGTTGCCCAGGCTGGTCTCAAACTCCTGGGCTCCAGCAATCCTCCCACCTCAGCCTCACGAAACGCTGGGATTATAGGTGTGAGCCACCGTGACTGGCCAATGTAGGGTTTTGAGCAGAGTGGGACACATGGGAAATGACCGGGGAGACAGTGGATCCAGGGACGGGGAGTGACTCCATTCTGAGTATTTTGGGGTATCAAGTGAGCAGGTCCTTCTGCTGCACGTGGAAAGGAGGGAAGGAGAAGAATCAAGAATGCCCTCGAGTTTTTGGCTATTGCAGCAAGGTAGATGGTTGAAGCATTTCTTGATGCCTAAGCCAACTGGAGAAGGGCAGGAAGGGTTTTAATTTGGATGTGGAAAAGTGTGTCCTGCTTATCCTGCTTACAAAGAAAATATCCAATCGGGGAGATGGCTGCTGTTCATTAGATAATACAGGTTTAGAAGTTAGGGCTGGGGTGACAGATTGAAAACTCATCAGCTTGGAGATGCTTTTTAAAGCACGAGATGGCATAAGATCAGCTAGGGGCAGTGGGGATGATGGAAAACCTCAGAGTCAGATGGAGAAGAAACCTCAGGGTCAGGAAAGTGGGAAGGGGCAGGGCTGGGCAGGAACCAGGAGAAGGTGTCACCAAAGCCAAGAGAAGACAGCACGGCAAAGACGGGGTGACAGCTGTGACGAACACTGGTGAGGGATTGAGGAATGTGAGAGTGGCCCAGGGTTTGGTCACAAGGAGGTTGATGGGGTCTGAGTCTTGGAGATGGGAGCTGACAAAAGAGAAAGTGTGCTTGTGGTGTAGACAGTGTCTTGAGGTTTCCTGTTATGAGAGAGAGCAGAGAAGGAGGCATGATCTGGAAGGAGTGCGGGCTTGAAAGAGAGCTCTTGTTTGTTTGTTTACGATGAGAGATATTACAGCGCCCCCTATGTGGATGGGGGAGATCAGGCAGAGAGGGATATATTTATCTTGTAGGAGAGTGAGGGGACAATGGCAGCAGCAAAGTCCTTGAGAGGGGCTGGCCTCTCCTAGACAGGACCAGAGTCAGGATGGGGCCGGCAGCATCTGTGAGCCAGAGGCAGGTAGCAGGGCCAGATACGGTGCAGAGAAGGCAGGGGCTGCTAACATCCCAGTCTCACCAAGAGGCATGGCTTCTAGCACCAGCTCAACATTTCCTGCGTGACCTGGGCAAGATACCGAATCTTTCTGAGCTGTGCTTCCCCAGGCGAAGGGAATTGGGAAGAAATCCAATCCCCGTCTGACTTCCCTCCTGGGGTTAACACACGTGCCCCAGACTGTCGGAAAACCCATCTGATGGGTCCCTAGCACTGAGATGCCACCAGCTTTGGCCTGAGATGAAGGTCATCTCAAAGGTCAGCTGGGCTTTGTTACTGAGCAGGTATCAGGGGCCCAGGGGCTGTGCCACTACCACCCCCAGTCTCTCACCCCTTTGGGACACCATGAACAAAAAAGTCTGACTCAATTTCTCTATGACAAAAGGAAGAAAATGGCTCGATGGGCAGTTCTGGGGGTGTGGAGTGGGGCAGGAGGCAGCAGGGTGGCGAGAAGACAGGCTTTGGCACCAGATCACACCCCAGCTCTAAACCTCCCAGCTGTGTGATTTGCCAGAGGCCGACTGACTGAAGATTGAACTTCAAGGCCTTCCTCCTGGACCCTTCCCAAACCCCCAAGCTAATATCAGATGAATACTTTTGTGTTCTTTTGCTTACAGACTGGGGCCCAAAGGTGTATAATACACAAGTTCCATGAAACTCGGATCTGCCCTGGGACTTTGACTAAGTGACTTCACCTCACCTTCCCCATCTGTCAAATGGGACAGTCAGGCCTGACCTCTTAAGATGGCAGAAAGGGTTACTGGGTGCCTAGGACAGGGCAGGCATTGGGGGCTCAATTTAATGAGAGATGAAGTTATGACTTCTGCTGGGGGTGGAGGAGGAGGGAGTGACGCCTGGTTGTGCCCAGCTCCCCCTCCATCCGGGGCACAGTCTTTGTGCTGTCTACCTGCAGGGGTCCCCTCTTCCAACTCCCACCCCTCCTCCTCCGCAGACTTAGCCCTTGAATACACAGGTGAACTCTTTCTCTTCCTGTTTATGCTCTTAAAGACGCAGACTGCCTGCAGCCAGCTTTCTCCTATTCTCCTTCCATCCCTCTTCACTGTGCCGCTGCTCACCCGGCCTTCCCCTCCCCACAGCCATCCCGTCTCAGCCCCCATGGAGCCCAGTCCAGGGCTAGGTGGGCACACAGTAGGCAGATCAGCTCCATCTGCCCCTCCTGCATCTCCTTGATGAAACTGGTTTCCTGTTTCCTAGGGCAGTAGGCTGCAAACCCACCTAAGCAATTCACACTGGGCTCCTACAACTGGGTGCCAAGCAAAAGCCCCTTTTGACCTCCTAGCCTCAGTCCTCAGGAGGAGCAGGGGGCGATAGCCTCACTTCCAGGGCAGCGGCAGCGAGGAAGTTATGCTGGAACCTAAGGATGCCCGATCCCGGCCCAGACAGTCCCTCCCCTGCCCCCTGGAGTTATGTGTGCTCAGAACACCAAGTCCTTACCTTACTGGGGACGAGGATGGGCAGAGGCAGCAGGAGAATGGGCAGGAAGAACACGATCAGGTAGGAACGATAGGCCCACAGGGCCTGCCAGCAGGTGGCCATGGTATGGACCAGTGAGGGCTGCCACGGCCACTGCCTCCAGGAGCTGGGGAACAGAAGGACCAAAGACGCAGCCCAGCAGGAAGGTGGCCCGGGCAGGCTTATATAAAGCCAGCTGAGCGTTAACCATTGACCCACTCTGGCAATCAGAGTGTTTTTGGAGTCAAGGAGGTGAGAGTAAGGAGGAGGGACCCACAGGCGGAGTAAAGATCAGGAAGGGAGAGGGAGAGGGAGGGAGGAAAGAACAAGGATTAAAAAACTTCAGGTTCCTTCAAGAAGTTAAGCCCAGCGTTAACTCCTTCTGTTCTTGGAAGCTGCTGAGGGTGGCACTGAAGGAGCTGGAGAAGGAAGGAGGGTCCCCCAGCCACCCTCCACAGGCAGTCCCCAAGCCCCTTCCCTTAGCCCGGCCTTTCCTTTCTCCTTCTGTTCTCCAAAGCCAGGTTCTCAGCTGAGACTTTATGTGAGAGCCTGGGTGGGGTGGCCCCGCCCTGCCCACAGAGATGCCCTAGGAATTTCCAGTGTAAGATTGGCAGCAGCCAAGGCCTGGAGCAAGCCCTCCTCCTCCTTCTTCCAGGTATCGAGGACCATCAAAGTCCCTGGTCCTGACTATGTCTTGTGTGACACTGATCCGCCGATTTAACCTCTCAGAATAGCCACTTCCTCATTCTGCAGTAATATCTTGCTATTGCGAGGCTTAAATTAGACAACTTATATACGTTGAGCTTTGATGCGTGGCAGGTGTACAATGAAGGTTAGTTTCTTTCAGGCTCTTCCTAGTCCCCTCGTCCCCCAGCAAAGATTGTTTCTTATTTCGGAAACATACTAGATCTCTCATCCATCCATCCATCCATCCATCCATCCATCCACCCACCCACCAAGCAAGTATTTAGCACCAATTATGTATTCAGCCCTGTGCTCAGTGCTAAAGATACAGAGATTAAAATGCTGCTGCTGCTGCTGCTGCTGGTGCTGGTGGTAAAAACTGACATTTGCTCAGCACTTAGTACAAGGCAGTTACTGTACTGCATCAACTCGGTAACTACACCATGGGTTAGGTGTTACTATTCCATTTAACAGATGGGGGAACTGAGGACATGGAGCCAGCCAGAATTCACACATGCATTATGGGTACCCTGAGGGAGGTCCAAACCAGGGCAGAAGTTCTGGGTGAAGGGCACCAGGCAAGGGCTCCTGGAAGAGATGGCATCCGAGTGAAGGCTTAAGAGCTCAGTCTTATTTGGCACGAGGTGATAGGGGAAGGAGCACAAGGAGAGGGAAGAGTGAACGAAGGTCTGGAGGGTGATGTGTGCATGTGCGTGCGCGCACGTGCGCGCGCGCGTGTGTGTGTGTGTTGAACAGAACAGATTGTAGTTTGGAAGAAATTATGGGTCTTAATCTCTGGCCAGACCCTCAGTCTCTTGGTACCCTCACCCCTCCTCACCCTGACTGCACGCAGTTGAAGGTCAATGCATGTTTCTGAGGTTATCAGAGTGTGATGATCTGTGTGGTCAGGATAAGGAGGCGCGGTATCAGGATAATGTTTCAGGCGGTGAACACAGTCTGGGAAGAGATGCAGAAGCGTGGGGATGTTTAGAGAACAGAAGGTTCTGTGTGGTTGGAATGTGGGTTTGCGGGGGACAGGATTAAGAGCTGATAACTATAGTTCTAGGTGTACTAGAGCATGGCCTGGGCTGTTATGCCACCGAGACACTCCTGGAGCCAGTGGAGCTTTTATGAGAAAGGCCCTGGTGCTTTCTGCAGGGTGGTCCTAGAGGTCAGAGGGACCCAGGTTGAGGGCTCCTGGAGCGAGGCCAGGCTGGGTGGGATGCTACAGTAACACAGGACAGGCTAGCCACCCCAGTCCCCCTTCAGGCCTGGCTCCTTCACTGCCACACAGTGGCCTGCCACCTGCTCAGGGCAAAGTAAGCAAGAGCCAGGAAGGACAGGGAGAGACAAACGGTTTCAGACACTCAGGACAATGCCCCGATTTTATCTCACCTTGGAGGAAGTGTCTCCCATGGCCTGAGGCTCTTAAGGAGCCAGAAGAAAAAGGAGGCCAGCTTCACCCTCAGGAACAACATTCACCACGTGTAAAATCTGCATCCCAGTTTTATCTAACTCTCCACACCAATCCTGTGATGTAGGCTCAGGGCAGTGAGGTTACTTGTCTAGAGTCACACACCTTGTGAGTAACACAGAGAATGCAGATTTGCTTCCAGGAAGGCTGTGCCCTTGGCTCAGCCCTCCATTCTCTGGCCTCCTTTGATGGAGCTGGAACAAAATTCAGTGTTTCCAAGTGGGATGGCTACTATTTTACTGAGACCCTCTGACTTCCCCCTACAGCCTTCTTCTAAGACATAGGCTTTCGGGACCTTCTTTGATTCTTTTTTTTGACCCAGTGTTGGGGGGCTATTGCATCACCAGCAGCCAGGCCCCATCAGCGATGAATTCATCTCAAAGCGGTGTCCCAGGGCCAGCGGGAAGCCGCCAGCTGTCATATTCATTACAAAAGCTTCCCCTTTGCCTGGCAGTCACATCTAGGGCCCCACACTGCCAGGTCTTATTCAATATTCTGGTTTGCCCCATCCCCTTCTCCTTTAACTAATGGAGCAGGTAACTGTGGTTTTTTCTGTGGCTCCTAATGAACTGTGAGTAACATATGGTAGTTGCCTGGCTGGCTTCTTCAGTCTTTGTTGGGGCCTTCCCTGTGACGGGTCTCTGTACTATCTCAGGAAGGTGTCACCACCAGGAAACACCTACCCTGCACTTTGTCCATTGCCTCTCCTGGACAGGGCCATCAGAGATTGGCTGCAAGTCCTTCGGGGAGAGGAAATGGCCTCTGGCTTACAAGAGGCAGCTTGTCCTCAGAAGCAGGTGGCTGATAAGCCGGAGATAGAGCTGGGGCTGGGTCACAAAGGTGGCTTTTAGGAAGTTTATATCTGAACATGTGAGGCAGGCTTTAAGACAGGGGCTCTTGAGGCAACCCAGCATTGTGCAGGCTGGGCCTGGGGCCCACAGTGGCACAACTCCAGGGATCCTAGAAAGGCGGGATGGCTGGACATATGAGGGAGCATCAGGAATTTTTTTTTTTTTTTTTTTTTTGAGACGTAGTCTCGCTCTGTCGCCCAGGCTGGAGTGCAGTGGTGCAATCTCGGTTCACTGCAAGCTCCACCTCTTGGTTTACTTACGCCATTCTCCTGCCTCAGCTTCTCAAGTAGCTGGGACTACAGGCGGCAGCCACCAAGCCCGGCTAATTTTTTGTATTTTTAGTAGAGACAGGTTGTCACCATGTTAGCCAGGATGGTCTCGATCTCCTGAACTCGTGATCCGCCCGCCTTGGCCTCCCAAAGTGCTGGGATGACAGGCATGAGGCGCCGTACCCAGCCAGGAATGATTTCTAAGACCTGAGACCGCCCAACCTAGAGGAGAGAAGATAGGGTATGGGCGGTGACAGTCATCAAATCCTTGATTGAGGAAGAAGAGATGTTCTTAAGAACATCTTAAGAGGGGATCACAGGATAGCAGGCTAGGGAGGCGCATGGGGCTGTTTTCAAGAAGACCGCTCTCCCTTGAAAAGAAGTGCCCTCCTGGGTGGCTGGCACACCCTGAGTCAGTAGGGAGGGGTGGACTCGGGGTTGGGCATCGTATTTACAGCTCTGAGGATCTGGGACCCCAAATCTGACTCCAGGTGCTCTGACCGTTCCTTTCATCTTCCATAGTCTCTCCAAATGGGTCCACAGTTTTGTTTTTTTTTTTGAGACAGAGTCTTGCTCTGTGCCCCAGGCTGAAGTGCAGTGGCGCGATCTCTGCTTACTGTGACCTCCGCCTCCTGGGTTCAAGCGATTCTCCTGCCTCAGCCTCCTGAGTAGCTGGGACTACAGACACGTGCCACCATGCCCAGCTAATTTTTTTGTATTTTTAGTAGAGATGGGGTTTCACCGTGTTAGCCAAGATGGTCTCAATCTCCTGACCTCGTGATCCGCCCGTCTGAGCCTCCCAAAATGCTGGGATTACAAGCGAGAACCACCGTGCCCAGCCACAAAATTTGTTTTATACGTGTTCAAATCCACCCCCCTCTGCAACTTGCGAGGTGCTCAAAAGGTGCCTAAAAATGTCCCTATAAGATCCAGTTCTCTCTTTCTTCTTCCACCTCAGCCCTCACCACTCCTGCCTGCAGTCAACAATATGCCAGACTCAATTGTTTTCAGATCCTCATTTGGGTCCTGCAGTTTGGAAAATCTCCAGGCAGTTCCCATGCTCTTGCTTCTTGTAAGCATATTGTCCCTGACTCCTCCTCCTTACTCTACTGGTTCAGTCTTGTTTACCTTTCAAGCCCTAAGACCGCACTTTCTTTGTGAACTCTCATCACAGACAGGATCAGGTCCCCTGCAAAGTGCCCTGGATATCACAGCACATGTCACGCTGCATTGCATTCTCCTGATAACCCATCTTTGTCCCCCAACAAGACTACAGGCTCCCTCCAGGCACAGACTGTCTGTATGGACCTGGCACAGAGCTGGTACTCAACAAGCACATGTTGAAAGAATGGATGGATGGGTGGATGGGTTGCCCATAAGATAATTTGTAATTTATGGCAGAGAGCCAAGCCCTCCTTCCAGCATGTTCTGGAGCTAGTCCCTGGAGCTTCAGGCAGGACATATAGGGGCCATTGGTCAGACCACCAGGCAAAGAAGTGAATGGGTTTTCATTACCATCAAGACCGTGATGGGCCGGGCGCGGTGGCTCAAGCCTGTAATCCCAGCACTTTGGGAGGCCGAGACGGGCGGATCACGAGGTCAGGAGATCGAGACCATCCTGGCTAACCCAGTGAAACCCCGTCTCTACTAAAAATACAAAAAATTAGCCGGGCGTGGTGGCGGGCGCCTGTAGTCCCAGCTACTCGGGAGGCTGAGGCAGGAGAATGGCGGGAACCCGGGAGGCGGAGCTTGCAGTGAGCTGAGATCGCGCCACTGCACTCCAGCCTGGGTGACAAAGCGAGACTCCGTCTCAAAAAAAAAGAAAAAAAAAAAAGACCGTGATGAGGAGATAGGGAGTAACCCTTCCAGAGCCAGCTCTGTCCATCGGCTGTGGCTGTTGGAGGCTGGGCAGGGACCCAGGGAGTATTCTGATCCTAAAAGAGATCCAAGGCTCATTTTTACACAATCAGTCCAAGAACCACCTTCTTGCATCACCAAGTAGCAAGGCCCATTCTTTCTCCTTCTAAGTCTCCAGTCCCAGTTCTCTTTAACAATTGTGATAAAACTCACATAATGTAAAAGGACCATCTTAACCATTTTTAAGTGTACAGCTCAATGCTGCTAAGTATATGTACACTGTTGTGCAACCAACTTCAGAACTTTTCATCTTGCAAAACTGAAACTCTACACTCATTAAACAACTCATTTCCTCCTTCCCCCAGTCCCTGGCAACTA